TAGAGGGGGGTAGTCTAGGGTCTAGGGTCTAGGGTCTAGGGTCTAGGGTCTAGGGTTTAGGGTTTAGGGTTTAGGGTTTAGGGTTTAGGGTTTAGGGTTTAGGGTTTAGGGTTTAGGGTTTAGGGTTTAGGGTAGTGTAGAGGGGGGTAGTAGGGGCACCCATGCTATTCCCAGGGCATGAAGTGCAGGCTTTGTGTGTCAGAGTTTGGGGTTACAGGGCACTTCCTGGAGCAACCTATCTGACCTATCTCCCCTCAAGAAGCATGGAAGTTGCACGTTAAGCCTTGGGGTTTAGGGTTTAGGGTTTAGGGTTTAGGGTTTAGAGTTTAGGGTTTAGGGTTTAGGGTTTAACCCTTTCTTAAGGTCCAAGGTGTCGCTAGGTGCGAAGAACTCGGTAGGCCCTAGGGACATTTTATACTTTCCCTTATTGGAACCCTAAACCCTAAACCCTAAACCCTAACTAAACCCTAAACCCTAAACCCCACTCAGGAATATTTCTTCAGAGGGCTTTAAGGGCCATCCCAGACCCAGAGAAGCTGCGAAGGTGTCCTGGAGGCCGTGGTCTGCAACGCAGAGGAGAGCGCAGCTTCGCTTGAGGGGTTTAGGGTTTAGGGTTTCGGGTTTCGGGTTTAGGGTTTAGGGTTTCGGGTTTAGGGTTTCGGGTTTAGGGTTTAGGGTTTAGGGTGGTGCTTCGTCCCCGAAGCACCCCCAAAAATTCTAAACCCTACCTAAAAGCTCCTATGTAGTATTGTTGGGGGGTGGTATACTAGAATCCCCTAAAGCAAAAGAGGGATCTACATGTTTCAGCCTTCAGGTAAAGCCACGAACGAGGCGCGACCCCGTACCACAGCCCAAGCATCTTCAGCATCCTGAGCACCCTACAGTAAACTCCAAAAAGTTGGAACATCCTTCTCCCTAGACCCCAAAAGGCATACCAAAGGGAATCCTAGCTCTAATCATCCTTAAACCTTGTTCCAGCTTTCTGGAGTGTACTGTATAATAGGCCCAAACACGAAAGATACCACAAGCACCCCCCCTATGCAGCCTAAGCATCTCAAGGCACAGCTTCCAGAGATTTTTTAGCTAGCTCGTTGATGGAGTTTACTTGAAGGTTCATGGGTAGTTATAAAGTAGGGCTATAAGTACCCCAAATAAGGTTATAACCAGCTATAACTGCAGTTCGCTTACTTATAACTCCACTTATGACTACCCATGAACCCCCAAGTAGGAGATCGCTCCCGAAAGGGGCTTCGAAGGTCCTTTGTTGGGGTTCCCAGATTTCTTGCCAAGCTGTACTAGCAGATTTAGGGCCTAGGGTTTGGGGCTTAGGGTTTAGGGTTTAGGTGCCTGGATGGATAAATGACACGTCAATTCAGGGCCCCGGTCTGTGGGATGGCACAATCCCTGACCTCCCAGGCATCGACCTAAACACAGAAACCTTAGGGTTCAGGGTTTATTTAGGGTTTTGGGGCCTAGTTTAGGGTGCACCTGGAGTCCCCAATGTAGTCCCTTTTTGGGTTTGTTTTAGGGGATTCTAGACTACCCCAAAAAGGTACTACATAGGAGCCTTCAGGTAGGGAATCCCTAAAACTAATCCCTAAATCCGAAGCCCGAAGCCCCACTGACATGCAAGACAAGGCGCGACCTTCTCTTCGACAACTGCGCAAAGGAGAGCTAGCCCTCTTCTCGGTTTCTCCAAGCACTGTTGCTGGGTTTAGGGTTGAGGGTTTAGGGTTTAGGGCTTCGGGCTTCAGTTGATCTCCCGTATTGTTATGAGAACATGTTCATACACAGGGGTTTTTTATGGCTTAAAGCGTATGTCTGGTTGTTGACATCGTTGCAGATGCGTTTGTTTGGTGTTTAGGGCTTGTTGCTCTCAAAGCTAATTTCGTTTTCTCCGCAACCCACAACAGAATTGAATTGCGTCGGCATCGCTTGCAAAGGTGCCCAGTGTTCCAGGGCCCCCGCCCAAAAACCACACATTGCACGCGAGCCCTTCAATGTCAGAACGTTCTGGAACAGAGTTTGCTCCCGAAAAGCGATGCTCATTTGGCTCTTACCAGCCGAGCCCTGAGGAAGCCTCCACCCTAAACCCTAAACCTCACACCTTAAAACTGGCTCCAATTCATCCGACAAACGCTACACCTCATGTGAAACAGCGTTTATATTACTGTTACTGGTGAGGGTATATAAGGTTCCTTTTAATATTGGTGAGTGTATATACCCTAAACCCTAAGCCCTAAACCCTACACCCTAAACCCTAAACCCTAAACCCTAAACCCTAAACCCAAACAGTCCATAGGGATTCTAGTAGCCTTTTTTGTCCCTGTTAAGGACTGTTGGTATAAGGGGGAACATCCCAACTCTACCATGAAGGGCTCGCTAAGCCATGCTGCGGTGAAGTCTCAAGGCGAATGTTTAGGGTTTAGGGTTTAGGGTTTAGGGTTTAGGCAAATTCTGCCCCAAACCCGAAAGCCCGAAAACCACAAGCTGAAAACCCCTCAACCCAGCCTCACTTCTCAAAGCACTTAAGGCCCTAAAACCAATCCGCAATTCCAAGAACACTAACATCCGAAATAGCTCAAAATGGGAATAAAGCTAAGTACCCTACAGATTCAATAACCCTAAGCCTTTTTCTCTGAGGGGCTTGGGGACACTGCTTCCATTTTTCGAGGTGGTTTGCTTCCACAATGCGACGGCATCGCCGAGGTTCGCCCTCCCGAGAGCCCGATAACGAAATCATGGAGGTAGTTCTCTTAATCAGGGTCCCCTTTTGGGTCCCCTAGAATTATTGCAGCACCCGTACAATCCGAACCCCAAGGTACCTTAAATCACAGCACTACCAATATGTACACACACACATGTGTATATATATATATATAGTTTTTTCATATATACAGAGAGAGACATACACACCTTCCTTATAAAAAAGAGTAAGTAGACGCAGTATTTTTGCGGGCTACTTCTTCGTCTTCTTTGTAATGAAACCCTACCTCAAGCGTCTTCCGTCAGGACTTTCATGGGTGGTAGTTCTCGAAACGATGTTCTCTTCCTGGTTCCGACAGCCCAGACTCTCATGTCGCCAGGCCAACCACTTGTCGTTTGCACCATGCATATGTCTTGTGTCTACGTAGGCATGAGAGAGCGTTTGTGTGTGTATCCTCGTGTTCACTCAGATGAGCTTCTCTCTTCTGTTGCCCTAATACCCCAAAGGGAAACGCCAATATCGGGCGAGCATTATGTTTCAATATGTACTTACGTATATATATATATATATATATACATATGGCATATATATATATATATATATATATATATATATATGTCTGTGTGTGTATATATATATATGCAAACATGTATGTTTGTATGTGTGTTTTGGTTAGCTTCAAGAGAAATATACATCCATTTCAGCTACTTCATATATATATATATATATATACATATATGTACATACATAAACATATGCATATGCACACGTAAAACTCGTAGCGCTGCTGCCAGTTGATTCCTTTGCCTCACCACTTTTTGGTCTATAGGGCTGATCGCTCGAACCCTACACTCTAAACCCTGAACCCTACACCCTAAATCCTGTATCCTAAACCCTTTCCCTTAAACCGACCTTTCTGCCAGGACCTCGTGCACCGATATGCTGAGGGTTGATGGCCTTGTCGAGCCCAATTTCTGGGCTGCCCCGCTGGAGAGCTTCTAGATTCCAGCTCGTGGCGCGCTGTTCCCCAAGCTTGCTAGCCCAGAGGTGCCCCCCTGTTCTCGGTTCTGGGTTCCCTTATAAATAGCTGGGCTTCCAAGAGCCAGTTGAGCAGAGTTGTTGAAGAATCCCCATCCAGACCTTTATCTCAGTTCAAGGGTGATGTAGGACAAATAGACGGTGCATCGTTCCCTAGTTCCCGATGTACTAGGCAACATGGGCCCGCCAGCCCTTCAAAGAGGCGATGTACCCTAATTACTGAACTCTAGGCCCTAGACCCTAATTAGACTAAACCCTAACCGCCCCAAACCAATTTAAGAGTCCGGTTTCTTGTGTTCTTCTGAATATCATGATATGTTCGCCCCGGGGCCCTGCTTCAAGATCAGCCCTTTATGCTTAGGATTTCGGGCCTAGGGCTTGGGATTCAGTGTTTAGGGCATAGGATTTAGGGTTTACGGCTTAGGATCTAGGGCTTGGGTCTAGGGCTGAGGATTTCTGATTGAAGGGCTGAGAGGTTCAGGGCCCTTGGGTGCTACTGGTTTAGGGTTTAGGGTTTCGAGTTAAGGGTTTTAAGGGGGAATGCTGGAAGCTAGGAGCTGGGTGGTTTCGGGTTTCTAAAGGAAAGTTACATGGTCCCATAATACCTTTGTGGCGCTTTACTGTAACTTTAGATCCGTAGCCTTTTTTGGGTTTATTGGGTTTCTTAATAAGGCAGCTAAAAGTTTAAGTTTTGCTAGCCTCCTAAGTGCAGCCAAGATATGGTCCCTGTAGAGTTCAAAGGGGTTCTGCAGCATCGGCCCTTGTCAGTGTGAAACCCTGAGGCCCTTTACTCTACGCCTTAAACCCCAAAACCCAAGGCCTGAATTCTAAACCTTAAGCCCTAAACCCTGAATTCGAAACCCTAAATCCCAAGCCCAAATTTCCCTAAGCCTTCAACCCTAAACTCCCTAACCCCAAAGCCCCCAAAAAAGCCGACTTGCTAAGCTGTGCGCATGAGCCATCAGACCTCTCTACTCAGAGGCTTGCACCCCCTCTCTGGGGTTTAGGGTTTAGGGTTTAGGGTTTAGGGTTTTAGGGTTTAGGGTTTAGGGCATCTAACCTCCTCGATATTGTATCCTAGCCCCCCTAAACCCTCAACCCTATAACCCCTAAAGCTAACCCTAAACCCCTACACGTCTAAACGAAGCCCCGGAGCTCCTAAGCACCTAAGCCCTGGTAGGGTGGCAGCCTCAGCCGTTTTGAAAAATGGCGGCGTTGTCTCTAGGGTTCCCCTCGTAATTAAGGCTAGCTCGGGACAGTTAAGCCGAATTGAGGTTATTTTTGAGGTTATTTTAAGCGTGGAACCTACGGGCGGGCTAGCATAGAGGGGAAACCCATGACGTTTAGGGGACCGCACGGCCGCTCCGCAAGAGCAGGGGGTTCGTTAGGGCTGACCATCCGAAACCTTGCTCCTCCAAAAGGGCAAAGATGCCCCGTGAGGAGAGAGTACACTTCCCTTCCTTACCTGGGACAAGGGCTACTCTAGGTAGGGTCTAGTGGTTCGCGGCCCCCCATTCCTGTGAACATGGCTGTTTGTGGGGGCTGCTGTTTGTGTCTGCAGCTCCTCCTGTACACTATGCTTAGCAAAGTGCAAGCAGTCCGTTGACGAAGCTGCTGCGCTTCATGACTTCATGGTCAAAAGGTGTTGGTCGTGTTTTGTGGGATGTATACCTCCTTGAGGGTACAGTGTTTAGGGTTTAGGGATCAGGGGCCCCCTTGATTCGGGGAGGGGGTACCTATTTCTATTCTAGTCCAGAAGCATTCCGTCAGGGTACCTACCCTTGTGTGTCACAATGCAGCAAAAACAGGAACCCCCGCAGCACAAAGTGGCGAAAGGAGAGAGAGAGAGAGAGAGAGAGAGAGAGAGAGAGAGACAGAGAGAGAGAGACCAAACGCCTTTGTCTCACCCTTCAATAAGTGGAGTGCCTTGAAGACAGTTCGCACTTCCCTGCACACCCTCATAGACCCGAGCCCCCCTCAAACACAAACCCCTAAAACCGCCATAAGCCCCCTAGCTCCCCAACCCCTGCATGCCTTGTTCCAGGGTCTTTTAATATGGAGCCTTAAAATGGGCACCCCTTGTATACCCCTTAGATACCCCGCATATACCCTATAAACCCAAGGGCCCATACATCGCATCCTTTAAAGGGGTAAGGGACCATGAAACTACCCCTAAACCCTAAACCCTAAACCCTAAGAGCCATTAGAGCATCCCGAAACCCTAAGGTTATAATCCCTAAATCGCATGAGACCCCCAGTTCCCACACCGTAGCCCCTAAAGAAACTCCAAGTCCTTTTTAACCTCCTGAAGTAGGATTTAGGGTTGAGTGTTAGGGTATAGGGTCAGTTAGAGTAGCCTACGTAGTCTTACAAAAACCAACGTTTAGCGCACACGTCTCCCCCCCTGCTTTTGTCAAGGGTACTTATACATGGGCCATTGCTTGAGCCGAACTTAAAAGTTGCAGCCTAAACCCAAGACCCAAAACCCGACACCCGAAACCCCAAACCCTAAACCCTAAACCCGAAACCCTAAACCCTACGCCGCAGCGTGGAGAAGGCTCATGCAGGCGCAGTTTTGGCGTTGAGCCCCCCGGGCGCCAAGGAAGGCCGCTGACGCGCTCCTGGGACAAGCACGAGAGTCGCCGTAGGAATAAGGGGCATGGGGTTTAGGGTTTAGGGTTTGGGGTTACGGGTTTAGGGTTTGTATTTCTTATATAGGGCCTAGGGCTTAGGATTGGCATGCCTAGGGTTTTAGCGTTTGCATGGCTTAGGGTTTAGGGTTCCTAGCTGTAGTTTCTATGTGAAAGCCGCAGGGATGTGTGAGTGTATTGTTTGTTCTCTGAATCTTTGGGGGACATGGACAAAAAGGTGCAGGATTTGCTGCTCCGGATAGTTTAGGTTCTAGGGTTTTTGGAACCCTAAACCCTAAACCCTAAACCCTAAACCCTAAACAGGGGCCTAAGGCCAGTTTCTCGAGTGGTTGTTTGCTTTCTTGCGGTGTCTCTGTAGGGTTCGGTTCGGCAGTGTTTTTGTCGCCCCAGTCCGAGTTGTGGATCCAGGGTTTAAGTTTAGGGTTTAGGGTTTATGGTTAGGTTGTGTTAAGAGTGGGGCATAGGGATTAGTTGGGGACGAGGCTTCGAAGGGTGTAGACGTCGTCCAGCAATGGTGTCTCGGATACTACCTTACTGGTTCTTTTTCTGGAATTCTGGACTTCGCTACCCTGCATAAACGCTTCAATGGTTAAATTGCATGGGGGTGAGGGGGGCAGGGTGTAAGGTACTTCATTCCGTAGTAACCCCCCCCCCCCCCGTCCCCCGTATATACCTAAGTAGCCCTAAACCCTAGACCCTAAACCCTAAACCCTAAACCCCCCCAACCCCCTCCAAATACCCCCCAAGGTTCCTTGCAAGGGTCCCCCCTTTAGTTCCTTCTTGAGGTTAGTCATAGGGGATTCTAGTATACACCCCAAAAAGTACTACTACATAGGAGCCTCTACGTGGTCATCTGCGAAGCCACACGCACGGCAGCCCAGCTGCGCGAGGTTTAGGGTTTAGGCCTATAAACCCGAAACCCTAAACCCTAAACCCTAAACCCTAAACCTTAAATCCTAAATCCTAAGGCGGAGCGGAGAGTCGGCGCGATGTCTGACAGCAAGGTCTTCCTAGGCTTGGCCCATGCATCGGCCTCCAAGGGGTAGTTTCATAGGCCCTGTTAATGTGTTTAGAGGTTCTGATGTATGGGTTTAGGGTATAGGGTTTAGGGTTTAGGGTTTAGGGTTTAGGGTTTAGGGTTTAGGGTTTAGGGTTTAGGGTTTAGGGTTTAGGGTTTAGGGTTTAGGGCGGGCCGTTGGGGTTTACGGGGTGTATCAGGGGTATCGATAATCTAAGGTTATATGGTTCTTGATGTGGTCCCTGGCCTCTGAAGTCTGGGCCCTTAATAATTTGTATAGGGTATATAATTGGTATATAGGGGGTCCCCTTTTAAGGGCCCATACTAAGGGTCCATGAAGCTAGTAAGATATTGGCTGGTTCTGAATAGGATTTCTTCTGGGCAATGTTTTTTAGGAATCCTTGATCTGCTTTTCGAATCCTTTCAGGGGTCTGGGGAGGTACCCACGACAATCAATTTGAGGATTTTGCCAGGGGATATAAGGTACCTACTTTGCAAGTCCCTGGCAACATCGCCCCGAGTGGGTCCTTATTCCCCGAACTCTTAGGCTAGGTTGCCTTTACACTCCGTCACCACAAAAATTGCCGTTACCAGGATGCACAGTAGTAACCTTGTTCCCTAAACCCTAAACCCTAAACCCTAAACCCTAAACCCTAAACCCTTTTGTTAGGGTGAGGATCCCTGACAAAGTCCTTCGAAGACAGAGAGGGCACTCTTCTGCTCTTGGCTGACAATTTCAAGACTGGTCGTCGGTTTGATTTAAGTGGGGTTCTACAGCAGGTAGCTATAGTTATAAGTGGTTAGAACCTTGTTTAGGGTACGTGCAGCCCACCCTACTCCTGTCGGCCCATGAACCTTCAAGTAGCCCAAAAAACCCAAATTCTTAACCCCAAACCCTTAACCCCAAACCCTAAACCCTATGTAAACCCTGCGGAACCTTAGGGAAGCTTAGGGAGCCTTAGGGAGTCGTGACTCTCCCCAAGCCCTCTACTTCCAGGCCGCCGGGCCAGGCTGCATCCCGAACCATTTCTTTGCGAATTCACCAATACTAACCCCTAAGCCCTAAGCCCTAAACCCTAAACCCTAAACCCTAAACCCTAAACCCGAAACCCTAAAGAAGCCTAGTAATTTAATAGGGCCCCTGGAGCCAGGCTGCATCCCGAACCATGTGGATGAGGAGGCACTGAAAGAGGACCACATGGGGCTCGCGGTTGCGGTTTGGGGTTTGGGGTTTAGGGTTTCGGGCTTAGGGTTGCCAAAAACTTGTACTTTAAGAGGGTTGCAGAGTCGTCGCGTCAACACATGGTTTTCTGGGGGATGCAGCGGAGGGGCGATATCTTCTAGCTTTCGTCTGTGGGTACGGCCCTTACTTTTGCCTCAGCCCCAGCTTATCCATTTAGGACATTGTACATATACCCAAGAAGCAGGGAGCATTTCCATGTTGAAGGACTAAGACTATACCCGGAGACCGTTTATAGCACCTTGGCAAAAGGGAAAAGGAAGCTTGACTAATGGTATTCCTTGAGTTAAGGGCATGCGTAGGCTACTCTAGCTATAGCTTTCTCTACGTTCTTACTTATCCCTTAACTTGGGATGTTCCCCCTTAAACTAACAGTCCTTAATGGCGATTAGAATCGGGGGTACTAGAATCCTTATTAAGGACTGCCCGTAGCTCCAGTGAAGCCTGCACCAGAAGCACTTGAAGGCTCCGAAGTATGCCTACAACCACCTTCTCGCCAGTTCTGAGTATACATCTGTTTAGGGTTTAGGGTTAAGGGTTTAGGGTTTAGGGTCTCAACAAGGGCTAGAACCAGTTTTATTCGAAGGATACTTTCCTTGTAGCCTCAGCTCCGACGGCTTGCCCACGGCAGAAGTGACCTAGGACCCAGAGTAGGCCCTCGTCTTCCCTTTTGAGGGTTTAGGTTCCCTTACTAAACCCTAAACCCTAAATCCTGCACCCTACACCCTAAACCCACTGTATAAGCCCTGTAAACCAAAAAAGGGCACGTCGAGGACGATCACGGAGATGTCCCGCCTCCCTCCCCACCCAGTGTGCGCCAGGAAGGCTTGGGGTTTAGGGTTTAGGGTTCAGGGTTTAGAGTTTTTGTATAGGGTCCAAAGGTTCTCCCAACTCCTCGACCATAAGGGCAGGATTCCCAGCATCGCTTGTCTGATGTTGGCTTATAAGGGCTTATGGCAAAGTCTGGTACCAGGACCGGGAGTGGGCCCTTTCTTCCTTTTTTTAGGGTTGGGGTTCCCTTATAATCCCCTTAATACCCAAAAGGGCACCCTTTTTATTCCTAGGTTACTCCCGGGTCTAGGGCAAGGAACGTTTGTCAGCATCCGATCAACACTTAAACCCTGATCCCGAAAGCGCGCCACGCCACGACGAAGCCGGCATCTTACGAAACATCTACGCCTACAACCTCAAAGTCTCGGAGTCCTGAAAGCCCTAAAACCCTAAACCCTAAACCCTAAACCTAAACCCTACACCCTAAACCCTAAGCAACAAACCTTGTTGAAATTCTTCAGGAGTGTGAGAAGCAGGGCACCATCAAAGAGTTCTTCTACATGGCGGACCCGGGGAGTTCCTTGCTGTTTGCCCTCGGTTTCTAGGGTTCTGGGGTTGTAGGATTCGGGTTTTGGGGTTTGGGGTTGTAGGGATAGGTTAGGGTTGTAGAGTAATTCAGGGTGGGGGTTTAGGGTTTGGGGTTTTTGGTTTTTATGGCTTGGGGTTTAGGGTTATCCAGGACATGGTTGGTTCAGTGTATGCGCTTGGGCAGGCATGCCCTCCCAGGGTCAAGCCGGAATCAGAATCTTGCTTCAAGAGGTTTTGCGGAGTGGTAGGGTTTAGGGTTCAGGGTTCAGGGTTTAGGGGGTAAGTTTAGGGTGTAGGGTTTAGGGTTTAAGGTGACCTGTTTTTGCTGGGCTGCGATTCACCCATGCGCGGTATACCTCGAGCAAACTTAAACATAAAAGGGTAGGTAGGTAGATATGCCAATAAGTGCAACCTTGTACCATAAACAAAGGGTAGATGTACCAATAAGTAAGGCACACTGCTGGCCTTGTGCAGGGTAACATGGGGATTATTATCTTATGTTATGGGTTCTTGAGCGAATAGTAGACACCTTAAACCACAACTATGAGTCCTGTATTCATAAAACCATGAAGGCAGCCGTATAATCATGTAGTATCGTACACGTATACCCATGTAATCATACCATCTTGTAATCATGTACTAATGTTTCAACACTCATACAGTCTTCTTGTATTCAGATAATCTGATGTTCTTATTGGCACACGAAAAATGAAAACAAATCAACAAATATGTATATATATAACACACACAGAGGAGTAGTAGTAGTAGTAGTAGTAGTAGTAGTAGTAGTAGTCGTAGTCGTCGTCGTCGTAGTAGTAGTAGTAGTAGTAGTCGTCGTCGTCGTCGTAGTAGTAGTAGTAGTGGTAGTAGTAGTAGTAGTCGTCGTCGTCGTCGTCGTAGTAGTCGTCGTAGTCGTTGTAGTAGTAGTAGTCGTCGTCGTCGTCGTCGTGGTCGTCGTCGTCGACGTCGTCGTCGTCGTCGTCGTCGTCGTCGTGGTCGTCGTCGTTGCGTCGTCGTCGTCGTCGTCGTCGTCGTCGTCGTCGTCGTCGTCGTCGTCGTCGTCAGTAGGGGAAACCCTAAACCCTAAACCCTAAACCCTGAACCGTAAACCCTAAACCCTAAACCCCCAACCCTGATTATAGTTAAACGGAGCTTACCAGGACCAAGTCGGCACCGACAGAGGCTGGGCGTTTGTGACATATGAGGCCGGACCTGCCCTCGCCTTGGGTGGAGCTTGTTTAGGGTTTAGGGTTTAGGGTTTAGGATTTAGGGTTTAGGATTTAGGATTTAGGGTTTAGGGTTTAGGATTTAGGGTTTAGGGTAACTTTCTAGTGTTTAGGGCTTTAAGCTTCATAGAGTTGAGGCAAACTAGGTGGACGGTTTGTTACGGCATGACGCTCTGGGTTTTTTGGGTTTAGTCTTAGGGTTTAGTTTCGTGAAGTTTTTTTCGCATATTGTGTCTTCAGCCTCCAACAAAAATGCTCGTGGAGGTTTGGTACATGCCACCGGCTATTTGCCTCCTTCTGAAGACCCATAAACACTTTTATCATTGTCCTCAGGCGACATCCAGTGCTGATTTTCCTTTGTTCGGTGGGGTGACTTCCGAGGTTTCCGAACGAATCTTACAAACGAGAGCCTCGACAGATTCAATCTCGGGGTTGAGGGTTGCCGCTTAGACGCAGTAGTGGTTTCAGACATCACAGGGGTCCTCATCACGGCAGTGGGCTCCCTCGCATTGGGCTGGGTTTATGCTTTTCAGGTAGCTTCCTTTGAACTCTGTGGCACAAGCCAACCTCCCGATTACATGTGCCATGTAAACATTGGGGGCCGCCCTTCACCCTAAATAGAGCACGTATTCGAAGTCTGCACAAGATGAATTCTCGTCGTAATATTAGCATAACCCATGCAACTAGTAGAAGCAGTTTAGGCGATGGTTACAGTCTTTTTCCAAAAAAGTATACAGGACACACACACACACACCCTAAACCCTGACCCTAAATCCTAAACCCTAAACCCTAAACCCCAAACCCCAAACCCCAAACCCCAAACCCCAAACCCCAAACCCTAAACCCTAAGCCCTAAACCTTACCATGAAACAACACAAAACAAAATCAAAGAACATAAAAATGCAAATACATGAAGCAAAGCACATTCGCTGCTCGCAAGGATGAGACCGAAGCCGCTGTGGCAGTGGCCACTTGGTTGGCCCTGAAGCTCTATTTGGTGTTTATCTCCACGCCGCGTAGTGGGTTTAGGGTTTAGGGTTTAGGGTTTAGGGTTAAGGTTTTAGGGGGTGGTTGGCCCTTGCTCTATTGTGTTTGTCTCCACGCCGCGTAGTGGGTGTAGGGTGTAGGGGTTGTTCATTTTAGGGTTTACCTATAGAGGCTCCTATGTAGTACCTTTTTGGGGTAGTCTACTAGAATCCCCTATAACAAACCCAAAAAGGGTTTACATTGGAGACTCCAGGTAGCTGCTTTGCTCATATAGGTCAGGGGTTTAGGTTAGGGGTCTAGGGAATAGGGTTAAGCACCCTAAACCCTTAAACCCTTAAACCCTAAACCCTAAACCCTAAACCCACTTACAGTTTCCTCGCCTGGCCGCAGCGATCATCCCGGCCGTGCCTGGCCTTGCTCTTCCGGAAATTTGGGTTTTGGGTTTAGGGTTTAGGGTTTAGGCCGAAAAAATGCAAAATGATTCTTCCTTATAAGGGTAACGTAGGGAGTATTCGTGCTCGTTTTCTTCAGCCAAAGTGGCCGGTTTGCAAGCGTCTTTATGGGCTTGTCCTTTCGTAACTGATTTGTTGAATGTGTTTTTGTCGATGCTCAAAGAAACGCCTGACGCTACTAAACCCCAAATCCCGAAACCCTTGATTCAACCCTAAACCCGAAACTCCCAAACCCTAAACGCCTAAACCCTAAATCCTAAACCCTAAACCCTAAGCCCTCCCAGGCAATGTTTAACGGGCAGCAGATCTTCGCGGGCAGCGCAAGGCCGCTACAGTGCAAGTGGGGGGCCTCAGCGGCCGACGGCGTTTAGGGTTTAGGGTTTAGGGTTTAGGGTTTAGGGTTTAGGGTTTGGGGTTTGGGGTTTAAGGCCTAGGGCCTAGGGCCTAGGGTTTAGGGCTAAGCGGCTAGGGCTTGGGGTTTAGGGTTTAAGATTTAGGGTTTAGGGTGCTCACGGCTCCATTTTTGTTTAAAGGATTTAGGGCTCAGAGGGCGTCGTGGGTTTTACCTTTTAGAGCACTGGGGTCTACCAGCCTATAGGGCTAGGGTCGAAGTTTTTTGGGGTTTAGGGTTTAGGGTTTCTGGGTTTCCTTGGCTTTGTTTTGTTAGGTTCCAGGGCTTCAGGGGTTTAGGGTTCAGGGTCTTGGGCTGACGGTGCCGAGGAAACAGGGGAAGCTTTCAAAGGAATATTATATTTTCGATCAGAGGATGTTCACGGTTGTCTACGGGTTTAGGGTTCAGGGTTAGGGTTAGCTTGTTGAATCTCTGGCCGTAGTGGGACGTGGTGCTTGTGGCTTTTCTTTGGGGGTTGGCAGGGGCTCGCGGTGTTTGTTTCCCACACTTGGCACAGCCAAACTGGTGAAACAAGTGGCGCTAGCACAACCAGGCACAAGTGCGAGGGCGTAGCTGTTTAAGGGCTAGGGAGTTTAGGGAAGCGTGGCCCTAGACCCTAAACCCTAAACCCTAAACCCTAAACCCTAAACCCTAAAGCCAGGGCAGTGTCACACGGAGACATGCTTTGCATTGATAGCGGCAGAAAGTCAGACTTTCAGGGTTCCGGGATTCGTGTTGATTTATGAGCCCTCATGCTCCCACCGCCCTTTCGCAACTGAACACGCCCCAAACCTATCGAAGGTTTACCTCGTGTAACTTGTATGCCAGAAAAACGAGAGGGGAATTTTCCTGAGTCATGGGATGTGTTTACTTGTTATTTGGTGGGGTTTCTCTATAGTCCCTAAATCCTTACCTCGAACCCCTAAGCAGGGTTGACGGAGTTTGGGTCTGATTGTTGGGTCGGGCTGCGCGCTGCAGGGCAAGCTTTGACAAGCCCCCGCACCCCTCCACCCGAACACGTGCTGTACCATGGAAGGAATGTAGGCAGAGGGGATGCTATTCTCACACAAAAGGCTAGCCCTGCTAAACCCTCAACCCTAGACCCTAAACCCTTTAAGGGGTTAGGGCCGGTTAGGGATGATAACCATAAACCCTCAACCCTAGACCCTAAACCCTTTAAGGGGTTTAGGGCCAGATAGGGAGGGTTTAGTGCTGTTCCTTCATTTCTGTCCTATCCAACGTGCCGGCCGAGGTTCGCAAACGAGAAGATCACCAAGATCGAAGGAACGGTCTTCGAGGCGGGTGTAGGTTGAGTAGGTTTTAGGGCTTCGAGTTTAGGGTTTAGGGTTCAGGGTTAGGGTTTAGGGCTTCGAGTTTAGGGTTCAGGGTTTAGGGTTTAGGGCTAGGGAAAGTCACTAGGTTGCTAGCTAACTTCTGCTGGAGCCACGCAAGTCACGCCGACAGTTGGTTTTATAGGGGTCGGAATAACTACCTACTTTTTTTCCGTTGGGGTCCCTTTTTTGTTGTACTTTCATAACCCCCAAAACCATATTCTAGTTATTCAGGCCCATATATTATGCGCGATGGCTGTGCAAAGAAGATGTCGTCTCCGATCTCGCTGTTAGCGATCTCGAAGCCCTTGCCCCGTGGTTCCCTAAACCCGAACCCTAATTAAACCCCTAAACCCTAGTCCTGAACCCAAAACCGAAAACCCAAACCCCGAACCCACAGGCCAAAACCCAAAACCCCAAATACCAAACCCTAAACCCTAACCCCAATGTGTTGAATTGCGACACGCTGCACTCAAAGGAAAGCGCAGCGTGCCACCACGTTCGTTCCAAAGCATGGGGGATTTGGGCGCAAGGGATGTTGCTGGGTTTCGGGCGTCAGGGTCCTAACCCCTGCACCCTAAACCCTAAACAGGTGGGCTGCGCCGTTGTAGAGGAAACGCTGTCAGTAGCGTTCATTCGTGTTTCTGCGGCTCGTGCATTCTGTACTGATTGCTCCTGGATGGTGTTGCCAGAGGAGCTACACATCTCTTTGTGGTGCTTTATTGTAACTTTAACTTTAGATCCTTAGCCTTTTTGGGTTTTTTGGGTTTCTGAATAAGGCAGCTACAAATTTGATTTATAACTACCCTCCTAAGTCCTAAGTCCTAAGTGCAGCCAAGATTTGTGGTGCTGCAGGTTGCCTTTGCGTTTACTTGGGGGGATTGATTGACAGGGCCAGGATTCACTTTGTCCTGCCCCCGCCCCCCCAAAGACCCTCCCCCCCCCCCCCCCCCCAGACCCTCCCCCCCCCCCCCCCCAAGACCCTCCCCCCCCCCAACCTTTTCCCCCCTTCCCCCCCCCCCCCCTTCCCCCCCCCCCCCCCAGACCCCCCCCCCCCCCAGACCCTCCCCCCCCCCCCCAGACCTCCCCCCCAAGACCCACACCCAGTGTGCTAGGCCACATTCTTCATTTTCACGGGCCTGTTGTTATCTGTATATATAAAGATAGGTGGTTGTCAAAATTATTGTCCCTTTTTGGATCCCTAATATTATACGGCACTTAATATTTATGGTACCCCAAGAGGGATCATAATTTGGCAACCACCCATATGTATATATATATATATATAGAATGGGACCAGAACGACTTTTCCTTTTTGGTCCACCGAGGTTGGAAGAACAGCTGAACAAAGTCCTAGCCCTAACCCAAAAGACAAGGAAGATCCGATGCGCTAAGCCCGACCTACATGCTCCTATGTAGCACCTCTTTAGGGTTTAGGGTTTAGGGTTTAGGGTTTAGGGTTTGGGGTTTGGGGTTTAGGGATAGCTAGCCCAGCAAGGAACTGCAATAGAGTTGTCCTTGACAGGCGCCCACGAAGGCCGTCACACCTTGGCAGGAGTTCACCACTCCGGAGGGTAAGGCGCGTGGGGTGTGAGGGGGCTGGAGAGTTAAGAAGGAAGGCCTAGAAGGACCTGAGGGGTCCTCCTCAGGTTTACAGGGACTTTTTGTCAGGCATATATAGTGGTTATATAGGGGACATAATTAATAGTCCCCTTCTAGGGCTCCTTATGCCCCTTAGAGTTCAGGTTTGAAGGTGAAGGTTTCATGGTTTAGGGTCTGGAGTTTAGCGTTTAGGTTTCCCTGAACCGCAAACCCTGAACCCTAAGCCCTCAACCCAAACGTTAAACCCTTCAAGTAGAGTTTGGGGATCAGGGGCAGGTTCGGGCCACGCGAAACCCAAGCTAGGCTAAGGAGCTTACTAAGCCAGTGATTTGGGGTTCGGGGTCTAGCCCGACGGCTTCAGTTAAAGGGGTGTGTTTACATCGTAGTCTACAGGGTTTCGTGTTTTAGAGGCCAGAAAATTATTGTTGAGAGTCGGTTTGTGGCGTGAAAGTTTGGGGTTGTGAAATTGGACAGAATCCTTTGCCTTTCCAGGAAGCATGAGGCCCAATTTCCCGTGTCAAAACCCTGAACTACCCGCTATGGACCCTAAGCGGAGAATCGTCAAAGCCCGAACTCAAAAAACAAACACAACAGCACGCGCTGTGCACTGCAGAGTCAAGGCCTGCCTGGCCAGAAGCGAAATGTGTTTCATTAGAGGCTGCCATGCATCCCTTTGCCATCCCGGAGCAATCCCTAGTCACAGATTCGTTCTTGCCCCCCCGCCCCGCAACAACTCCACTCAGACCCCAACAACTCCACCCAGAAAGAAACGAAAGAAGGCGCCTTTGGGGGGGAGGGGTGGGGCACTCGTAGGTAACTTAGGAAGGCCATGGACCATGTCTCGGTTCTGCCACGCAAGCCACACTTTTCGAGACGTCGCACAGGACACACACGAAAACCATGCACCAAACGGGCCATCCCGTTAGGTCATTCAAACCGCCGAACTCGGCAACAGCGGACATGTTGAGAAAGTCTCGAAAAAACTCGCGCAGGCCAATGTTTTCACCATGCGCCTGTGTGCCAGGAGGAACAGCGCGAGGCGACGAGACGCTGGTTTTACCCTAAAACCACCCCCTAAGCCAACCTCGTTGGGGGGTTTAGGGCTTGGGGTTTAGGGTAGGAGCCTCGTCCTAGAGTTCATCTCTTGTGCCCTGCATTGGCCCGTGCCAGCCCTACTACTACAACAGCGTCACCAAAGAGACTCGCTGGGAGAAGCCAGCTGAGCTTGGCTCTCAGAATTAGGGTTTAGGGCCTAGGGATTGGGCCGGGTGCCCGATTCTTGTGAGTCCCACACGCTCTCGCGGGATTGTCGCGGTTCACAGCCGGTCAGGATGTAGCTGGGAGCCAAAAACCGTGAGCCCTGTATCTCGGTGATTAGGTACTTCATGTGTTGCGTTGCCCTAAACCCTACCCCGAAGCCCGAAGTGCGCTTGGATTTCTTGGGCAGTAGAGTGTGGGTTTCTAACCCCTGAACCCCAAATCTGCTTGCGCTTTGAATCACAATCTCCTGGCGCTTTCTGTGCCGAGGCTTGGCGGTCAGACAGCCTGGTACCCAAGCTGTGGCGTTGAGGGAGCAGTGGGGTGCGCCAAGCCGAGTAGAAAGTCGGACGCCCTGAGCCCTGTCTTCTAGACCCTAAACCCTAAACCCTAAACCCTACACCCTAAACCCTTCTGGGATCTCCAAGCTCTTACAATGATTCGAAGCCCTCCTTCGATTCCCCAAGCTCCGAAGTGCAAAGCGGTTTAGGGTTTAGGGTTTGGGGTTTGGGATTAAGGGTGTAGGGATTGGAGTTTAGGGTATGTAGCCCAAGGTTCACGAATACTTTCAGCGGTTTTCGGGCTACATACCCTAAACCCCAAACCCCAAACCCTAAACCCTAAACCCCACACCCTATACCCTAAACCCCAAACCCTAAACCCTAACCCCTAAACCCCAAACCCCAAACCCTAAACTCTAAACCCAAAACCCTAAACCCTAGCCCTAAACCCTAAACCCTAGATCGCGGCTTGAGGCCGCGGCACCTGGAGCTGCAGCCTTGCCAGGAGCTGCTGCAGGCTCCTGGGTTTTTCGGGTTTAAGGTTTAGGGTTTAGGGCTAGGGTTTAGGGTTTAGGGTTTAGGGTTTAGAGTTTAGGGTTAGGGTTTAGGGTTTAGGGTTTAGGCGGTTTAGGGTTTAGGCGGTTTAGGGTTTAGGTTTAGGGTTTAGGGTTTAGGGTTTAGGGTTTAGGGTTTAGAGTTTAGGGTTTAGGGTTTAGGGTTTAGGTTCAGGGTTTAGGGTTTAATGTTAACGTCGCTTTAATAAACCCCCCCCAAATCTTGTTTTGGTCGCCGGGGTTTGGAGGGGTGGAAAAAAAAGAGCGGGTGTCAATACTGGGGTTCTGGGGGTCTGGGGGTCTGGCGGTCTGGCAGTCTGGGGTCTGGGCGTCTGGGGGTGTGGGGGTCTGGGGGTCTGGGGGTCTGGGCATCTGAGGGTCTGTCTGGGGGTCTGGGGGTCTGGGCATCTGAGGGTCTGGGGGTCTGGGGGTCTGGGGGTCTGGCGGTCTGGCGGTGTGGGGGTCTGGGGGTCTGGAGGTCTGGGGGTCTGGGGGTCTGGGGGTCTGGGGGTCTGGGGGTCTGGGGGTCTGGGGGGGGTCAGGTGTTGGATCTCGTCTCAAGCCATTTTCAGCAAAATTTTCGCTTCTTGGCCAGCCAAATAAGGCAATTGTCACCCCATTTTTATTTTCATCGGACCCCCCTATATAGACTTGTTTACACACATCAGCCCGAAAACCTCCCGAAATGGAAAGTAGTCTTGGGCTGGGGCCCGAATATTTCTATTACCACCCCATTTTGTAAATGTGAGGTTAACAATAGGGTTCAGGGTTTGGGGTTGAAATTTAGGGTTTCGGGTTTGGGGTTCAGGGTTTTGGGTTTAGGGTTTGGGGTTTGGGGTTTAGGGTTGGGTTCATGGTAAACGGACATAGGCGTCTAGGAGAATTGGGATAGAGGGGTTTAGGGTTTCACGTACAAGGGCTTGGGATTTAGGAGTTCGCGCTTCCGGTCTACGGTCTAGATGTTGGCGCCCTAAACCCTAAACCCTAAACCCTAAGCCCTAAACCACGGGAGTTGGTAGGGCTTTGGAGTTGTAGATTGAGTGTTCTGTTCGCGGGCTTCCTGGGGTTTGAAAGTGAACGTGCCTTCGTGCTTGAGAGATCTGAGGATTGTGTTTTTTAGAAGGCCTTCTTCGCTGGTTCCTTTCTCCGCGGATCAGTTTGCTCAGTTAAGACAATTCTTTTTTCAGGTCTTTCAAAGATAACATACTCCCCCTTTTTCTACACGAAGATTAACCTTGTCTTCCTAGGACCGGGAGTAGGCCCTTGTTTCTTTTTTTTTGGGTTGTGGTTCCATTATAATCCCCTTGTAATCCCCTTAAAACAAAACAGTGCACCCTTTTTATTCCTAGGTTCCTCCCGGGTCGAGTTTCTCCTTGGACAAATCAGCCGGAAAGTCTCGTAAGTGGGCATTTGCAGCCGGGTGCTCTGAACCCTGGGTCGGGACCCCAAACCCCTAAACCCCTAAACCCCTAAACCCCTAAACCCCCAAACCCCCAAACCCCCAAACCCCCAAACCCCCAAACCCCTAAACCCGAAGCCAGGTAGCAGCACTTCCGGCCAGCTGGCCCTTACTCAGGCGGGGGGGGGGGGTTAGGGTTTGGGGTTTAGGGTTTAGGGTTTAGGGTTTTAGGTTTTTAGGGTTTTAGGGTTTTAGGGTTTTAGGGTTTTAGGGTTTTAGGGTTTTAGGGTTTTAGGTTTTTTAGGGTTTTAGGGTTTTAGGGTTTTAGGGTTTTAGGGTTTTAGGGTTTTAGGGTTTTAGGGTTTTGGGGTTTTAGGGTTTTAGGGTTTTAGGGTTTTAGGGTTTTAGGGGCAGTCTGCAATGCTTGATATTAAGCCCTAAACCCTAAACCCGAAAAGTGTGAAGTGACGTACATGAGCCTTGAACCCTAAAACTCTAAACCACGGCATTGAAGCAGCTGGATTGCAAACTGGAGCGTCCGAAGCCAAAAGGGTTTTAGGACATGGGGTTAATTTACCGTTTGGGTTTGGGGGGATTTCGAGTTTTAGGGGGTAGGGGTTTGGGGGTAGGGGCTGCCCCATAGGGGGGGTGGGGGAGGGGGCTTCAAGGTGCGCATGGGTTTTTTATTCAGTGCAAGGCGTTGCGTCCTTGAGCCAAGGCAGCCACTGATCACCCGAAACCCTAAACCCCAAACCCTCCACAAGGATTAGAGGGTATTTAGGGTTTATAGGTTCTGCTCATGTAGGCTGTACATATGTCTTAATTACAGGGTTTAAAGGGTTTGGGGCTAGAAAGTAATCTAAGGGTTCGGCTACAGAGAGCCAGCGCGTTTGCTGCACCTGTACCCTGGCACCCTGACACCCTCAATCCCCTCCTGAAACGTTTAAACCCTAAACCCTAAACCCTAAACCCTAAACCCTGAACCCTGAACCCTGAACCCTAAACCCTAAACCCTAAACCCTAAACCCTAACTCTCAACTTCCCTGCATGGCAGGCCCCCAAGCCCTAAAGCCTCGTAGCAGGCAGCGCTGCCGGCACTGCAGGGTGGCAACGGGCCACCAGGCCTGGGGGATTTAGGGTTTAGGGTTTAGGGTTTAGGGTTTAGGGTTTAGGGTTTAGAGTTTAGGGTTTAGGGCTAGGGTTTAGGGTTCATGGCTAGCTGTATAAGTGGGAGAACCAGAGTTATAAGTGGTTCTAACCTTATTTCGGGTACGCAAAACCCTACGTTATAACTACCCGTGAACCTTCAAGGGGGTGGTTTAGGTGTTAGGGTTCACGGGTTGAGTAGGGTTTTGGGCTCTGCGTTCGGGGCATAAATTCGGGGGCAGAGGGTCTAAGAGCTGTAGAGGTCTATGTCTTGAGGGTATACAGGGTTTCTGTACTGGTGGAAGGCCCGAAATCCCAAACCACCGAACCATGTGCAAAAGGGTTTATAGCATCCCCTAAACCCTAAACCCTAAACCCCAAATTTTCAGTTTACGATTCTTGGCTTGTGCGGGGCTTTGTCGGTCTGGGAGCTCCAGCCCTTCCTTAAGAAGCCAACTTCCGGCTTTTCTGTAAGAGTCCTACAAGGGGTTTAGGGTTTAGGGTTTACAGGGTTTAGGGTTTAGGGAGAGCCTACATACACAGTAGGGTGGGGGGGGGGGGGGGGGGTTCTTAAGGTATAGGCGCTTCGGTGAAGCAGGGGGGGGGGGGGGGGTTGAGGCTTATAGTATGAAAGGCATCCATGTACAACTATGCCCGAAAGCATCGACCCCCCCCCCCCCCCCTTAAAATCGGGACCCAAGCTCGACCTCATGACTTGTGACAGGGTGTGCGGTTTATCTTTTTGGGGTTTACGGAGTTGAGGGAGGAGGTTTTGGGACGCCTATGAACATTCTAGTAGGCAGCCGGTGGTAAGCTGGGGTCCGCTTTGGCTTCTGGGTTCAAGTGGTTCTGTTTAAAGATGGGTTGCTGTACTGTCATTGTTTGAGACTCAGCAGTCAACCTGCACCCAAAAGCCCAAAACTCAAAACCCCAAAACCTGAACCCCAACCTTCAACCCCTAAACCTAAGTCTCAACTCACTTGGAGGTTCAAGGTACTTGTTAACCAATTAGAACTGTACTTGTAACTGTACTTACAACCATATTAGGGCACCCAAGGGGCTTATAAGTGGGTTATAAGTACAGTTATAAAATCCCCGAACCGCCAGGAGCCAACATCTTTGTCTTCCATGTTCCGATCAATTGGACGGACGACGACTTCAATGCCCACTTCTCACCGCCACTCGCATGTTTAGAGAGGCTTAGGACAAACAAGCATCATTTTCTAGGATCCTTAAGGGAGGGGGCCTTAAGGAGTGGTGGGGTTTATTTGAGTATTGGGGAACCTTGGGTTAAATTACCCCCTTGAATCCCCCTCCCTCCAGGATCCCGTAAGCACGTCCATCCTGAAAAAGAGACGCGAGCCGTTTGGATGTAAGGCTCTTGATCCGTGTATTGCCGGGCACGTGGCTTAAGTTCATGCACTGCTCTCAATAGCTCAATGGGACAAGTATGTCAGGGTTGGGGCTTAGGTGATAGGATTTGCCGGACGCCTGGTCGAATAGACTAGTATATGTATATATATATATATATATATCTTTGTTGCTGTAATTTATATTTCTATTTCTATCTTCACTAAACAAGTATCGAACTATGTTCGAAAGTGTTTCAAAAAGCGGTATTTGTGCATTCCAAACGAAGGGCAGGCACGTAACGGGGAGGGGGCTCACCACATAACATATGCAGATTACGTACACACATGTATACAATATGTATGTTCTACCTAGAGGGAACAGAATGATGAGGTATAAGGGTTCTTAAGCAATATTAAGCAATCGAGCGTAAAGGGAATCGCCTCAACGTTGAGGGGTCGCTACGGGCTTTTGACCGGTGGTGAAAGTCGTACCCGAAGTTGTGTATTCTTATCGATCACTCGCTTTCCGAGAAGTCGTGCCCGCATTTCTACACGCCTAGTACTTTCACTGCTGGTGGAGTCTCTTGGTAACATCTAAACAACAAGCAGGTGCAGTGCGGCCATTGCCACTGAGGACGTCGTTTGAAGCATATGTATGTTGTGCTTACATGGTGAACTAGTGTTTCGCCCTTGGCACTGTAACTTGCTTAAACCCTTCATTTATGTATTGGGACAGATAGACCAGCTTGATCGAGGACATGTGTTGCCACATCGACTGTGATGGGCATGTGGCTTCAAATTGAACCCGAGGTATTGTCCAAAACCCATGTGCACATCTAGGACAGGGTAACGCTCAACTAGACACACCTTTGCCCGCCCGCCCACTTACGGATCAGAACATAGGCTACGCCTGGTCCCTAACTCCCGAAAACTTTAACCCAAATTCCTAAACCAGTAATCTAAACTTTGTGGTGCTTTACTGTAAAATTAGATCTTTAGCCTTTTTGGGTTTCTTGGGTTTCTTAATAAGGCAGCTAAAAGTTTATAATTTTATAGCTACCCTCCTAGTGCAGCCAAGTAAACAACGCTGCAAAGACGCAGCATACTTTAGGATTCGGGCTGCGCTCCTTGGGTTTGCAAAGATTCCACAATGCACTGGGTTTAGGGTTTGGGGTTTAGGGTTTAGGGTTTAGGGTTTAGGGTTTAGGTTTTGGGGTTTAGGGTTTAGGGTTTAGGGTTTAGGGTTTAGGGCACTACGCCGTCACTCCGCGTCACGGAAGGGCCCCCCGGGGTCTATGATACCAGCGAGATACTCTTCCACGTTCATCACGAAGTGCACGGTCCGGCCATCTGCAGATTGAAGGAAGGGGGTTTAAGGTTTAGGGCTGAGGGTTTGGGACGCGAGAATACTCCACACAGAAGGTATGACTCATGATGCTGGCCGGGTGGACAACAGCTAGCGGTTCGAAGTGAGTGGTTGCGTGCGAGCATGCTAGTTTGCAAGTGTATAGGAGCACGCGTTGATCATGGAGCTCGCGAATTGTTGGCCCATGCGGTCTACAAACTCTTTGGTGAGGTAGGCCTTGAGCCGAAACACATATTCGTCATGTTAGAAGCAGGTTTGGGGCACGAGCTCTGAGTGCATGGCCGCATGTTTGCAACTTGCAATTGCAGTATTGCATGTTTCGTGGTCGCGAAACATGATGGCGTGCCTTGTGATTTGGTCTTTCGGTTGCTTGTACGTCTTTTCTTTGGGTCGATCATGCAAGCTTCTGGTCGATCATTCTGTCAAGGCCAAGGGGTTGAGATCAAGCCCTATTCAGGTCCATGTAGCGTCGGGAGGCAACAAGAGCCATAAGCCCACATGAAGTTGCATGGTTAGTTCTACCGCTAGGACTAAAACTGCAGTCAAGCCATGAGTTCCTCGTCTCCCGAAATGAGGGTTATAGCTGCAGCCATAGCTCCCAGGCTGAGAGCCCTTGTGCCCACCCCCAACCTATATTAGAACTCTGAAGAGCTACAGAGCCCAAAAATTGGACCTTAGTTTAAGGAACCTATCAGCTGACCGTTTAACACTCCACGCGGACACGGATGCCCCAACACAGACCCTCCCTTGCTTGGCCTATCCATAGGATCCCCCCCACCCTCCCCCTGCTTTGGGTTCCCCGGCCGAAAACCTTCCGTCGTCGTGCGACTTTTTGTGTGGAAGTGTTCGTGACTCCATCAGACTTAAGCATGAGCGCGGCTCGGAGTTTTGGGGCTTACGGTTTAGTGTTTAGGGTCGGATTTGGGGGTTTAGGGTTTTGGGCAGCCAAGCATGGAGCAATACGCTACATCGTTTTCCGGACCAGGTTTGGGCAGATCGTGTCTGCGAAGATCCATGTGGATCCTGTGACGAAGGCCCGAGCAGATTGCAGGACCAAGTTTGGGTGGTTTAGGGTTTAGGGTTTAGGGTTTAGGGTTTGGGGCTTAGGGTTTAGGGTTTAGGGTTTAGGGTTTTAGGGTTTAGGGTTTAGGGATGCAAGGGCGTTTGGGGGGTGGGTTAAGCACTTAGGTCTTTACGCTTTAGGCTGTGAGGATTTTCTGTGTTAAGTTTTAAGGTAGATAAGGCCGGAAGTGCAGTAGTTCCCCTGGTTCTTAGTAGGGAATGAGGGAATTAAGGCCCTATATTTAGGGAATATGCAGGGTACCTCATTCCCTTCCGAAGCGTCAGCATAGGAAGCCCGGAGGGAACCCTACAGCATACGTAGGAACCCTACACCCTAAACCCTAAACCCTATAGACCCTAGACCCTAAGCCCGAAACCCCAAACCCCAAGCCCCAAGCCCCAAACCCCAAACCCCAAACCCAAGCCGAGTCGAACAGGACCTTGGGAGCTTTGGGTAACCAGGGCTAAGACAACCAGAAGCCTTGGAGGGTTTAGGGTTCCAGGGTTTAGGGCTTAGGGTTCCAGGGTTCCAGGGTTCCAGGGTTTATGTTTTAGCGCTTAACCCCAGGGTCTTAAACTAGACCCTGCGCATAGAAAGTTCTATAAGCATTGGGGGGGGGGGGGGGGGGGGGGTGCAGGGACTTTGAGTTTTGGTTTAAGACACTAGCTGGATCGGAAGTGTGATTTCGAGGGTACCTGAACTCAGGTATCATGAGCTGGAACCGTAGATCCTTTCCTTTGGCAGGGCTTCGCTAGGGGCGTATTTAGTACGCTCAAACCTGCATCCTGAACCTGCTTGCCTCGGAGCAACCACCAAACCCGGAAAGTCTGGCCGAAACCCGACCCTAAGTACCGAAGCCATCAAAGCCTCATTATGTACGGTTTAGGGCTCTCAATGCCGTCAAAGCCTTTACGCCGAGTCACGAAACCCCAAACCTTCAACGACTTCAATCGCAACCCTCCCTTCCCGCCCCTCCCCCCCCCCCTCCCCCCAACACCCGAGCCCCATCCCCAAAAGCCCCAACCCAAAAGAGAACTATTTGGTGAAAAGCCCCTAGCCCTGAAGCATACAAACCCCAAAATGCCAAACCCGTACACCCCATAAACCCAAACACTCCAACCCCACGAAAGAACCCAAACACCCAAAACCCTCCCAAACCTTACCAAACCTTTCCTACTATTTGTTCAAGAACCCCCCCAAAAATAGAAGGTTTCCTTATTAAGGGTAGTATAGGGATTGTTTTTATTCTTCTGGGGTTCTTAAGCAAGTAGCTCCAAACTCTCCAAAACCTCCAAATCCCTAAGCCCTGACCTCAAATCCTGAACCCCACGAAGCTCTGAGGACCTTAGCTGGCCCTCATTTCAGGCCTCGACACCTTTCGTTAACAAAACAAACAATCCCTAAGCGCTGACCTCAACTCCTGAACCCTTCGAAGCTCTCAAGGCCTTAGATTATCTCTACTTTGTGGTGCTTTACTGTATCTTTAGATCCTTAGCCTTTTTGGGTTTATTGGGTTTCTTAATAAGGCAGCCAAAAAATATTTTATAGCTACCCTTCTGAGTGCGGCCAAGTTTAGATTGCCTTCATTTCAGGCCTCGAAAGGTTTCGGCTTCTGCTCCTACGTGACGACGCAAGCAGCAACCATGGCCATCAAAGGTATGAATGGCCGCTGCCTCAGAGGAAGCTTCCGAAACCCTCCATGCCCTCCGGGGTTTAGGGTTTAGGGGTTTAGGGGTTTAGGGGTTTAGGGGTTTAGGGGTTTAGGGGTTTAGGGGTTTAGGGGTTTAGGGGTTTAGGGGTTTAGGGTTTAGGGTTTAGGGTTTAGGGACACCATGGAGAGCAACCTGGAGTAACTAGATGGCATCCTATCTGAGGGCGCGTGCCCTGGGCGGCTGCTTGGGCACAGTGGAAGCATCCAAGCGGTTGCTCCCCCCTAGCCTTACACTTCGAGGGTTTAGGGTTTAGGGTTGAGGGTTGAGGGTTTAGGGTTTAGGTTTTAGGGTTCACAGGTCTGAACTGTTCATGTGCGTTTTTTTCTTCATCTGCCTTCGCGCTTTCAGCCCATGGGGTTTACTTGCCCTGTTTTAGGTGCAAGGCTGAGGGCTAGAGCCCCTGAAGCCCGAAACCCTAAACTCTGGTTCGGGCACTTTCCCTAAATTGCAGGCTTAAGCGCCGTTCCTCAGAAGCTGGTCAGAAATGTGCCTTAACTGTTGACCAACAGTCAACCACCCTTTTTCCAGGGCATGTGGGCCATTCTGAGTTCTGAACGAGGTTTAGGGTTTAGGGTTTAGGGTTTAGGGTTTAGGGTTTAGGGTTTAGGGTAGGTCCCTAGGTACTTACCCCTTGAACCCCTCCCTTAACAACACTAAACCCCAAACCCCAAACCCTAAACCCTAAACGCTAAACCCTCTTTGTGGCGCGGTATGTGGGATGTCAGGATGCACCCTTGCTTGGTAGCCCAGCGGTACCCTTTACCCCTTTTTTTTGGTTCAAGGTCCCCTTATAAAGTAACTATCCCAAAAAAGGGTGCCCTTATTATCATAATATCGCTACTGGGCTACTAAGCTTGAAAGCCCGCGATCTCCCATGTAGAGTCCATAGAGTAACCTTCATGCCCTGGAAGAATGGGAAGGTGACTTATTTCCTTGGGCGCGCTTGGTCTTGTTTAAAGGTACAAGGTCGTTCTGGGCAAGCCCTAAACCCTAAACCCTAAACCCTAAACCCTGAACCCTAAATTGCAGTTCTGAGGCTTTGACACCAAACAGGGCAAGTTCCTGAAAGTCACCATCAAGAAAGGTGAAGAACAGCGGCTTGACGGAGCTGGCTGGTTCTTAGAAGGAAGTGAGTATATACCCTTTAAGGGGTAATATAGGGCCCTATATATATATATATGTATATGGTTATATAGGGCCCTATGTATACCCTATCAGGGGTCATGTAGGGCCCTGATTCCCTCATTCCCTACTAAGAACCAGGGGCTGAGCTATTGATTAGGGTTTAAGGTTTAGGGTTGAGGGGGCTGATCTACACTACTTTGGCTGGGCCCGTACTCGGTGGGCCCTTGGGACATGTTATGTTTTGCCTTATTGGGCTTACAGGAATATTTGTTCGGAGGGTCTTTAGGGCCATCCTGGCATAAGTAGTTTAGGCTATAGGGTTTAGGGTTTAGGGTTTAAGATTTAGGGTTTAGGCATCTTGGGGTTCCCAGCTCATGGTCAAGTGAACCCAACAAGAATAAGATTGGATACCATCACACAAACTACAAGTGAGGGTCCAAGTACGGGCCCTTTTTGCTTATCTCGTAGACATCGTATATTCTGAAAAGATAACCTCTAAACCCTAAACCCTAAACCGTTTAACCCTAAACCCAAAACCCCCAGCCTCGGACTTTCTGCACGCCTCTGGACCTTTGCAAAGCCTGACCGTTCTGAATTTGGGCTCCATGATCCTCATGCGTTTCCGGCATAGGATTTAGCGGGTGCAGGGCGCATGGAGCAACCCTGTAGCCCATAAATCACAAGGGCATAAGGGACAGTGTTTCCATGAGCTCGTGAAATCGTTTTTGGGATCAGATGCACTTTTAGTTCATCACCCTGAGCTCGAAACTCTCAACCGTTAAGGTCGATGCCCACGTTTAAGGGCATATGAGCAAGCGCCAAAAACCCCAGCCATTCAAGTAAGTAAGGGGTGGACACGAATGCCCAAAACCCTGCAAAGCGATGAGCCTTGAAATTTTCCCAAAAGCGAACACCTGCAGACATCAAGCGTGGACAGCTGACACTAAAACCCTGTGAAGCGATGGGAACACTTGAAAAGCGACGCCCCTCATGTTGCGTCCATAGCACCGCCAGCGGGTTTTGGCAATTGCTCATTATCGGGTACATTTTCACACCTTGAACCATTTCTTGAGTATTGACCTCTCTGAGTACACGCCTCGTGTCTCTTGGAACACTCATCTAGGACCCAGAGTAGACTATAATTCCCCTTTCTGGGTTTTAGGTTCCATCATGAGCCCCTTTAAACCAAAAAGGGTACCCTTTGGGATGCTCCCCCTGATACACAGTCCTTAGTAGGGTTATAATCAGGGAGGGGGGGGGGGGTACTATGATCCCCTTTAAGGACTGCTAGTAAAGGGGGGAACATCCCTAAACCCTAAACCCTAAAGGGGTACCCATTTTGAATCCTCGGTTGCTCTTGTGTCTTGTCATCCTCCAAGGTACAACCCAGACGCGGTCTCAGCGCAGAATGTTCCAGCAGCGGCCGCAGCTGGCGTGGCTCTAGGTTTAGGGTTTAGGGTTTAGGGTTTCGGGTTTCGGGTTTAGGGTTTAGTGGTTTAGGCTTGGGCGTTGTCTTGACTTTCTTCGGTCTTTCTGGGGCCTGGTGGACAGACGGGCTGATCATATTCGAGCAAGAAATGTTGCCAAGTCATCTGGGAGGTTCCAGACTAGGTAGCCCAGTGGTGCCCTGTATCCCTTTTTTTTGGTTATGGGTTCCCTGAAAATGAAAATAACCAACCTTCTCGGGTGCCCTTACTACAACATGCTTACTGTGCTGGCACGTAGATGGTGGGGTTCCTATCTTCATATAAGTTAGGGTCCCCAAAAAAGGGTTTGTGTTGCGAAATACCTGTCTGCTTTGCATCGTGGGGGAGGGGGGGGGGGGGGCTCGCTGTCTGAGTTTCTTTCCAGTCCACATGGTGGATACGTGCAATCCTCCCGCACCCCTGAAAGTAGGAAGTGCTGAAATAATACTTCGGGAGTGGAACAAGAACCCTCGAGGTCTTTTCTGGGTCCTCTATAAATCCTGCACATGATGCTGGGTGACAGCCATCTTGAGGGAGGGAGCCCTAAACCCTAAACCCTTTATAACCGCATTTGCTGCCTCAAGGCTTACCGCAAGCAACTGTAGCCTCTCGCCCAAGGTATGGGTTGAGTAAGTAGTATTTTCTCCACCACAGGAAGAGCCCTCGTGTATGTTAGAAGCTCCTCGTCCACAATGAGAGAGGGTTTAGGGTGTGGGGTCTAGTGTTTCGGGTTTAGGGTTTAGGGTTTAGGCTTTAGCGTTTAGGGTTTAGGGTTTAGCATTTAGCGTTTAGGGTTTAGGGTTTAGGGTCTAGGTGGGTTCATGCCAATCCAGTGCCTCGCATGGCCCGGTCTTCGTGCGGCAGCCCTCTCCTCCGTGGCGGGGCTCCTTGTGCTGGGCGTATGCTGGGAGAATTCTTGGGCTGGCTATGGGTGGACCCTTCAGGACCCTTGGCTTGGGGACCAAATGAACCCTGAAATTGGGGTCATATACCCTGTACTACTGTAAGTCTTGTAAAGGTATGTGAGCCATAAGCCCTTTTATAGACTACTAGAAGTCTTATTAAGGTATATGAGCCAGAAGCCCTATCGTACTACAAGTCTTACTACGGTATATCAGCCATGTGCCCTATAGCGCTAGAATCTTTTTTGAAGGTCTATGAGCCATAAGCCCCCTTTAGGGTTCATGTCGTCCCCAAGGACCGACATCGAAATGCCAGCGTGACGATGCCAGGGCATCCAAAGGAGCTCTCTGAAATTCCTGAAGTTCCTGGGATTCCTGAAGTTCCTGCGCATCCTGAAGTTCCTGAAGTTCCTGGAATTCCTGAAGTTCCTGCGCGTCCTGAAGCTCTCGGGATTCCTGAAGTTTCTGGGATTCCTGAAGTTCCTGCGAGTCCCGAAGTTCCTGGGAGTCCCGAAGTTCCTGAGATTCGCGGGATTCCTGTGGCATACGTGTGGTTCTGCGGAACGACCATGCGGGATGCGCAAGGTAGGGTGGCCTGGAATGTCACAGGCCCGTGCAGGATCCAGGAGTACTTCTACCGGATACTGGCTGTGACGCTATTGCACGTCCCCACAGTGGTGCTTCTCACTGACTCAGCCCTTCAGCCCCACTTCCAGCAGCGGTACCCCGCCGAGGCACGCAGAGGCCTTCGCGTGTACGAGTACTTGGAGTACGCGGATGCCAAGTATTTCAAGCTCCAGTCTCTGTACTTGACGAATCTGAAGGAAAAGAACGAGTCAAAAGAGACACAAGCCTGCTGCAGGGGGCACACCGAGCCATTTGAGATGATGAACGTCCTGAGCTTCTTTGTCATGCGTGCCTGGATGGAGAAAGAGGCTGTGCCCCATGTGGCCTATGCAGAGAGTGATGTTGCGGTGCTCGTGCCGCCCTACCTGCCTCAGAGGTGCGAGAGCGAAATTACCTGGCGTTCCAGGTGGGATCGCCAGCATGAATGGCCTCCTTTCACCTACAGCGCCCTGGCATCCACAGGTGGCGTGCTGAGCTTGGCTGTTCTGAACGACTGGACCGACTTCAACCTTGCACTCTTCAAGGAGTACTTCTGGATCCAAGAAGCTACCGCGGTTCAATTGGGAGTAACGTTCATGTTGAAAGGGTGCGTTCAACATAATCCATTGAAGTTCAATAACCCAAGAGAGTCCATTGACTACTATTTGCTTAAGAACCCCAACAGAATAACAAAATGATAATCCCATATAACCCCTACATTACCCTTAATAAGGAAGAACGAATGATTTTTAAATGTTTTGGGGTTCTTAAGCGAATAGTAGTTGAAGTTCAATCTTCACAGGGCATCCAGCACAACTTGTTTTCCGGCATCAACCACATGAGCACATGGTACTTTTATGCCATGGGCAGCCTCGACTCTGATGGAATGCCGTGGTCCGATGCTAGGCATTTTTCTGACTATTTTGAAAGTAGGGTTTAGGGTTTCGGTTTTTTTTGAAACATTGCTCATTGGGTTTAGCAGGTTCTTGATTCAATTTCGCACGGGGGTTATTGTAGCTCGAATCCAGGATGGAGAACCTTGGTACCTTCAGTACATCCGGCTTCCACCCAGATTTTCCAGAGAAGTGCTGCACGTCCCACCTGCGGAGTTGCGAGACCTTCCGCGGCGGAATGCAACGATTCCACCCACCAAGCGCTACCGCGTCTGCAACGGCTGGTATCCTACTCAAGGCTATATCCCTCTTGGGAACTCTTTCTTTTTATTTTTGTTTATATAAAGCCCAAGAGGATATTAACCATAATATGTTTTATTAAGGTTCTAAGGGGAGTATAGTAAACCCTAAACCCTAAACCCTAAACCCTAAACCCTAAACCCTAAACCCTAAACCCTAAACCCCGAGAGGGGGGTATGGAAGGCTTCATGATCGATGCTGCGCACGGCTGGAATCCTGCAAACCTGGTCTGCTGCTATGTGAAAGCTGGCGAGACGCACAAGGACAGGATGCGCCAGTGGCACCTTAAGAGTTTAGGGTTTAGGGTTTAGGGTTTAGGGTTTAGGGCTACTAAGCCGGTAGCACCACGATTGCCTTCTTCCCCCCCCTTTTTCTTAGTAGGTGAATGAGTACACTTTACACTTGTTGGGGTACTATGATCCCCTATAGAACTGAAAGTGTACACTTTTTGGGGGCTCATGAACTCAGCAACTAAGTTTTTCATGGGGCTTTTTGGGCTGCCTAGATGAAGCCCCTTCAGCACGAAAAGAGGACACCATTTGTTATTCCTAGGTTTGCCCTAAACCCTAAACCCTCAACCAAATGAGGTTTAAGGAGGAAGTAGACTAAAACTCGCAGTTCGACTCGTGACTTCCTACGCAACACCTACACCCTAAACCCTAAACCCTAAACCCTAAACCCTAAACCCTAAACCCTAAACCCTAAACCCTAGCCCTAAACCCCAAACCCTAAACCCTAAACCCTAAACCCTAGCCCTAAACCCCAAACCCTAAACCCTAAACCCTAAACCGGGGAAGGCTGAGTTGATACACAGCCCCGAGCTGAACCGGTCCATCTTCCGGGCCACCGTCGGCCAAGCGACTTTGCGGGACCTCCACTTCCAAGGCTAGGACCCAGGGAGTAGGCGCGATTTCTGTTGCCTTGTTGAAGGGGTTTGGGGTTTGGGTTTAGGGTTTAGGGTTTAGGGTTTAGGGTTTAGGGTTTAGGGTTCTAGGGTTTGCCCCTTTAAGCCAAAAAGGGTACCCTTTTTTGTTCATTCCTAGGATATTCTTGGGTCTATAGAAGGTCCGACCAAG